TCCTCTGGGTCAGGGGTCAGCAAACCACTACTGTTTTTGTAAACTAAGTTATTATATTGGAACATGGTCGTGCCCCTTACATGCATGCAAGTGGAAGGAGAAGCAGAGGGAGAGAGAGAATCTCAGGCAGACACTCTGCTCAGTGCAGAGCCCAATGTGGGGCTCCAGCCCGGGACCCCATGATCAAGCCTAAATCAAGAGCTGGACACTTAATCAGCTGAGCCACCCAGGCACCCCTGGTCATGCCCATTATTTATATATTATCTGTGGCTGCTTTTGTGTTAAAGCAACAAAGGTAGTTGTGACAGACATCATATGGCCCATAAAGCCTATTTTATTATCTGACCTTTGCAGGAAACGTTTGCCAACCTTTGCTTCATATAATTCTGGTGGCCATCTTGGAGCTTGTCCTCACTTGGGATGGGCTAGAGTGGAGTCTAGCCAAATTGAGTAGCCGTTTACAGGATGTAAGGAAGGAAGAAAGAAATGGCAGGGATCCCTGGGTGGCGCAGCGGTTTGGCACCTGCCTTTGGCCCAGGGCGCGATCCTGGATACCCGGGATCGAATCCCACGTCGGGCTCCCGGTGCATGGAGCCTGCTTCTCCCTCTGCCTGTGTCTCTGCCTCTCTCTCTCTCTCTCTCTCTGTGTGTGACTATCATAAATAAATAAAAATTAAAAAAAATGTTTACTGTAGCTTTTTGGAAGCTTCCCTTCTGTTTCCAGTTTATTAAGAGTTAATCTTGAATAGCTAATGACATATCAGATGTTTTTTGTATATTGAAATGATATGATTTTTTTCTTTAGTATTTAAATGTAGTGAATGTCATATCTAATGTTAAACTATCCTTGCATTCATAGGATAAATTCAACCTGATTCTGCTATACTTTCTTTACTGTATAATAATATATTCTGTTTCCTGATCCTTTGTTGAGGATTTTTGCATCAATGTTTATACTATTAGCCCTTAATTATTTTTCACACTACCTTTGACTTTTTTTTTTAAGATTTTATTTTTTTATTTGAGAGAAAGCAAGAACACACAAGGAGGGAGCTGCAGAGGGAGAGGGAGAAGCAGGCTCCCGCTGAGCAGGGGGCCAGATGCAGGGCTCCACCCAGGACCCTGGGATCATCACCTGAACTGGAGGCAGTCACTCAACTGACTGAACCACCCACGTGCCCCTAACCTTTGACTTTTATATCATAATTATATTGGCCTCATTGAATGCTTTGGGGGACTATTTCCTATTTATTTCTATTCTTGGGAAAGTTTTTATAAGGTTGAAAGGATTTGTTTCTTAAATGTTTGTTTTTTTGTGTGTGTGTGTTGGGAGAAGGGTGAAAATATTTAAGTACTGCTCTAATTTTTCAATAGTTACAGAACGATTAAGGTTTTCTCTTTCTTCTTAAATCAGCCTTCCCCACCCTCCACAATTTTGTTCAAGTTCTGTGTTTAGTTTCTTCTCTGTGTAATCATATTTAGCCTTTTCAAAGAACCAACTTTTTTGCTTTGATCTTCAAACTGTACAAAAGGGTAATCAGTAAAAAGGAAGGCTGCTTCTCAGACCTTGACCTTTTTTCTAGAGGCAATGGCTGTATTTTTGTATATCCTCTTAATGACATTTTTTATCCTCACACAGTTCTTTTAATATAACAGGGTGAACCATATGAGATGTAGTGACCTGCACTCTTTTTATTCTTTTGCCCTCTTTTTAACATCAGCCTCATTCTTTTTAATACCAATGTAGTATTCCACTGCTTGGTTGTACTCTATTTAGAAGTAGTTATGCTTGTGTACCAAATAAAAACTTTCCCACTTGCTTCATAACCCAGTATTGATAACAGATACCATCACTTCACAGAACTTCTTGAAACAGAGTATATTCCATTTAAATATCTTTAATTGAAAAAACAAAACTTTTCATTATTTAAATGCCATGTAATGTTCTTAAACATTAAATCTCTGTTCCTTTTGCAGTTTACCTTAGTATTTAGTATGAGGAGTAGATGCAGTTTTATCTTTTTTCTTATGGCTGCCTTGTTGCCCAGTGCCACTTAGTTCAAGTCCATCTTTTCACGTGTATTTGAGATGCTACCTTCATTATGACTAAATCTACATATATTTACTTTGTCATTTGTGTGTGTGTGTGCATCCACGTGTTCCCATAGTTGACCTATTCATATGACAATATCATAGCTTTTAAAAACTTTGGTATTTTTAAAATAACTTTGGGTTTACAAAACAGTTGGAAAAACAGAACCGTAAGTTTCCCTATACCCTTCACTCAGCTTCCCAGCTTTCCCTAATGTTAACATCTTACATATCCACAGTACAAGTATCAGGACTAAGAAATTAAGTAATTGATACAATGCATTTAACTGTTTTATTTATAAAGGCTTTGTACAGTATTTTATTTTATTTTTTTATTTTTATTTTTTTTAATTTTTTATTTTTTATTTATTTATGATAGTCACACACACACAGAGAGAGAGAGAGAGAGAGAGGCAGAGACATAGGCAGAGGGAGAAGCAGGCTCCATGCACTGGGAGCCCGATGTGGGATTCGATCCTGGGTCTCCAGGATCGCGCCCTGGGCCAAAGGCAGGTGCCAAACCGCTGCGCTACCCAGGGATCCCCTCAGTGAATATTTGAATAAAAATGTAAATAACAGTCCCTTTGCTTTCTTCTTCCCTACTCTACTCTTGGGTGAGAGTCTCTGTAATGGGCATCTTGACACTACAGAAAAATAAATTGGGATGTTTGTATACTCTCATCAAAGTGAAAGATTCAGAGGTTTTCCCCATTTCATGAGATAAATTTTGATTTTTTTAATGTTGAGTGGCTTGTAGTTAAGATATATTTCGTATGAAATTCTCATGATTGCATAAAAGGCATTCTAAAGTAAGTTTGTGATTTCTCAAATTTTACATAAAGCAGTTGTAAGTTAGGGAAAGGTGGTTGCAACATCTTAAACGGATACAAAGAGGCATTATTCCAGGGAGCAGCATCTTTTTTGCCATCAAATTATATGAAATATCTTGCATTCTAGAGCAGAAATGACTTTAATGCCTGTGATTCTGGAGGAACGAAAAGATGTTCAAATGTTTTTGTCCATTTAAAGAGTTGGATTTTCCCCCGTCAATAAAGAGCACGTAGTCTTTGCTCATTTTGCCCATCTGGCTTTTCTGTGATTGTGTAAGCTTATAACCTCCGTGTCTCAACCTGTGTGTATCTGTCTCTTCCTCTGTGTTACTACCTTTTATGTTGTTTTATTATTTTAGTGCAAAATAGCCTGCTAAAACTATTTGGGGTAAAGAATTTCAGGGCTTGCATTATTATATTGTCAGACCCAATTCTGTTACATAGTTTGTAATGTGCTATGTGTTTTCAGACCTGCTTGTTACTGGGATGAAGTGGAGCGGATGATCAAACCTGTGGATTTCTCCTTCATTTTTGAGATGTCTCTGTCCTTTTCAAGTAGCTGAATTATTTCCTTACCTCTTGTCCCTTGGTCAGGGGAGAGCAACTTGTAACAACACGTTGACATTAGGTCTTACTAAGGAAGACACGTTACATGGTTATTTTGATAATATAACTTAACCTTTACATATCACTTTTCAACCTGGCTTTTCATCCTTAATTCTAACAGTATTCCTGTAAATCATATTTGTGCTAGTAGATAATCATTTTACAAATGGTGAAATGAATTAAAATGGAGGGGCAAAGTAAATTATAACCAACCCTGAAATTAAGACCTGTGTCTCCAAATATAAATCCATTTCTCATTGTTTTCAATATAAAGACTTCTGTGAGTGATTGCCCACCTCCAGGACTCACTTCCTCTTCATTAACTCATTGGAGAGTGGCTACACCTGAGTCCTTTGATTTCCCTTGTTAAAGGTCTTCCAGTTGCTGAACCCCGATAACTGTAGTGACTAGCCAGTGTTAAACCCGTCTGCCTTATTTTGTAGTGGATTTTATTCCAGATGCATTTTCTTGCGTCAAGATCTTTAAGTATTGTTTATGAGAAAAATTTTGTAGTACTTTTTTTAGCTCTAAAAGAATTAAGATAGGCAGAATTTTGTTTATTCCAAATTGAGTTTGGGATTAAACTAAAAAGAGAATCTGGGTCTTCTGAATTTGGTTAGTCTTAGTCTAACTCCTAGCATTCTCTAGTTCATGCTAAAGACTTCTTACTACCTGGCTATCTTCTATATCTTGCTTTTCTCCCCCTTCTTTCACAGTGATATAATTAATTGCCAAACTCTGCCTCACTTCTCTTTGACAGTCTCTGCTTCTAAACTCATCCATTTTCTTTACGTGTCTTTTGACCTTAGTCTGAGCAAGACCACATGTGCTATAGGATGGCCTATTATATTCACCTTTTTGAATAAATGTAGAACTTTATATTAGTAGGTCTTACTTATCATCTTCCTATCAAAAAGATATGAAGTCTCAATCTAATGCTGTTCTGTGTATCTATACTTTGTTAAATGGCTGCCTTTTTAATGAGTCTTTCTTGGAAGTTCAGAAATACTTTCCGATGGATGATATTTAAGACTAGCTTTCTATCAAAGTGATAGACTATAATACCCAATCTCATTAATTCATTCTGGCTTTAAAATTACGTGATTGTTGAACAAAATCCATAAATAATATTACCAATATGAATTTCTTATCAATGATTACATTTCAATACATAAATTTTACCTATAACACCAGTTAAAGTATCTTTAAAAACTTGAAAAAAATTCTAGCCTGACAAATCTCATCCACCTATGGAAAAGGCGAATGTTATTAAGCACTACTGAGGTTCTTCTATTTTAGTTATCCTTGTCTTCAGCTAAAACTCTCGTGTTTCATCCTCTTAGGCGGTGCTGCTTGAACAAACAGTATTGTTATTAAATGTCTCCAGAGTTTTGTTTCTTTATCCCTTTCTTTGTAAACAAGCAGCCACAATATTTTTAGTAGTGAATTTCAAAATCCTTTTTAACCTTATAGGTCCAAGGGTAGCCAAGGATGGCTGCAGCTTCATATGATCAGTTGTTAAAGCAAGTTGAGGCATTGAAGATGGAGAACTCAAATCTTCGACAAGAGCTAGAAGATAATTCCAATCATCTTACAAAACTGGAAACTGAGGCATCTAATATGAAGGTATCAAGACTGTGACTTTTAATTGTAGTTTATCCATTTTTATTCAGTATTCCCTCCTATAAAGTTGGGGTTAGATACTTCACTTACTTAAAAGTGTATTTTAAGTTAAGCAGCAATATGTAAACTCTTTCTTGCAAAGTTAGCATGTATATTTTGAACAAAATGTATTTAACCCGGCGAATCATAGAAAATAATTGTAAAAACCCGAGGGCTAGTTTGTTCTTAGTTATTTTTAAGCTTAAAAATAAGGGACCAGCTTTAGCATCACTATACTGAGGCTGGGTGTTCTGTGTAATTCATAGAAACTAGTTTCACTTTAGAGTATCTCTTACTAAATACAGGCTTTTTCCCCCCACTCTCCCAGATCTTGTCTCCACTTCAGTGAAGCAGTCAGTGATAAATGATCAAGAAAAATAAAATGCCCTAGTAGGAAGAGTCCGGAACTGAAAGTCAGTACCTTGTCCTATTCCTTGTTTTGCCACGAGCCAAGCTATATCACCTTTAGGTACCCTTCTGGCGTGTCTTATTTGGAAAATACAGGCATCGCACTAGCCTAGACCATTTCCACGGCTCTCTCATGTCCTGAAATTGGTTTGCTGACTAGCATTGAAAAGTTGTGATAACCTCCAAGAAAAGTTATAAAATATTCAGTCTGCAGTGGGGAAGATACGTTCTAATTTCAAAATAATTGAGGTTAAAATTTTAGCTATTTTAATTTCCAGGTACTTAGGCAGATTCCCTTCTCCCTGAACTTAATAACTTTACAGATTTGGAAAACATTAACAAAACTGTTAACCTCTTTCTCTTTTAAAAAATCTTTCTGCTTTGTGTTGTTTCTGCCTCTTGGCTGTTTTAGCATCTGGGTGCCTCACCCTGTTCTTCCTGTCTTTTCACTACTCTTATTCCTTATTCATTGCCTATTTTCTTATAGTTCTTTTTTGTACAGTTTGAGGTCTCCCTTATTCTTCAAGCCTCTATACATCACTGAACTATTTTTGCTCCTCCTTTACCCTTTATTGTCAATATCCTAACAGTTCAACCTTTTACTTGTATGTATTATTCTATCTATCCATAAATCTTTTCTACTCTAACTACCTATTTCTATGGTTAAAAACTGTCCTTGATGAGCACAGGTCTCTAAGGTACCTACCTCCAGTCCTTTTGGAAATAAGGTAGACTTTAAGCAAACATGTTTTCTCACCACAAATTGGGTGACCTCAAAAACAGCCAAATCAGTTATCTAGTATTAAAGAATAGTTTGCTATTTTAACACTGATTAACACAATATATCTAAAATTATTGTACATGATATGTGGTTTTAAAAGTTTAAAGATAACAAAATTAAAAATTCCCAACAGGGCTACTCTTTCATCTACTTTGGGAGGTGTACTTAGCAAAAAATTCCTCTTGGCAAGCCCACCTGGAAGTCCTGTCTTATAGTGCACAATTCTGAGATCCCTTTTAAATTTTGCTTAAGTCCTTGAGCAAATTCAAAATTTATTTTTGGGAGACATTTTAACCTACCCTGGAGGAATGTCTTGGAGTAAAAATACAATTCAGACCCTTAAGTCTCTACCGTGGAATATCAGGTTGACCATTTATCCATGTGGTGTATCATATTACACATTATGAATATTGGTACTTAAGATATGTCTGAATTCAACCATGAATTGATTATTATTCAGTAAGTGCTTCTGCAGACATCCTTGCAGAGCCATCCACATAGTCCTTTAAGATTAGTCATATGGTATCATAGCAGTTACAACCTTATAATGAAATTATTTATGTATATAAGCTGTTCAAGAGCAGGAGCCATGACCATTTGTTTTGTCATAGAATATTGATTTGTGAAAAGACGCTTGGCACTTCCCACATTGGATTAAAGTCAATCCAAAACATTGGTTATTTGCCCGAAATCACTTATTATTCTTTGGACTACATTACATAATCTTGAATCCTGTTTCCTGCTCATTAACCTATTTACCGAAGAAAGGCAAGGTGGATCTGCTTCAACTAGGTAATTTAAGAATTTCTGAAACTTATGCAATAGTACCATCTAGTGGCAAAAGGAATACTGCTTTGCTGTTGATTACAAGGTATTGCTACAAACTGTTAAAATACTTGGTGTGTGTGTATGTGTGTGTGACAGAAATATGTGTAAAACAGGGAAATGTACTGAGAGGATACAGGGCAAAAAACAAATTGTAGTGGCACAAAATGATAGTTCTGGACATTTACATAGGAAGTCCATACCATCCAAATGTAAAGCATCTGTCACTCAAATTAGGAAAGTGAATCTTAAGTTTGCAAGTGATCTTAGGATTAGAGACATACAATTTGAAGTTATCTGCAGAAGGGTAGTTGTTGAATTATGAGGCTAGGGAGTATAAGAAATAGGGATAAGATTAAAGGATCACTGAAAGAGTACAAGTAGTAGCAGTGGATGGATGGAAGGAGAATTGGGATCCTAAAAAAACACAGATAACTTAATAAATGATAGTCCTCAATCATATCAAATGATAGTCCTTTATGGAGGAGATGGTGTCCTGAAGTTTATAATAGACATTGTAGAGTACCCTACATTCATTCAAGGATGGTGTCCCTGTACAGATTGCTTTCCTCTCCCACAGATGTGATACATTTCAGCCATAATAACCCAAACATGAATTATCAGTCACCTCCAATGTGGTCTAGAAGGTCAGATTTTAAGGCCACAGGCTTTCTTGTTAACGTGGGGATTCTTTTTTTAATGCTAATAATGTCACTCAAGGTAAACCAGTAAAATTGTCTTTGTTGGACTTATTTTTTGATAAATTTCCTTTTCAATCTGTTTATGGATCACTTTTCATATTGGAGAATACTGCGCATAGTTATAAGATCATAAACAAAGTCTTGTATTTGGAAACCTGATTGGCCAATAAGGACTCTGCTAGGAACTCGAATGGAAGGCCCTGGAATATGAAAGATAAAAATACAAATTATTATTAACGAACATGCAGAAAAACTGGTGGAAATGAGTTTCCAACATAATTTGAGGGAAATTTATCAAGAGAAGGATTTAAATGGGAAAGGAAACAATGTCATCAAAAGTCAGGAGGCAGTGAGCGTACGGTCATTGCAGTACCTGCTGAATGTAAATCAATATGCTAGTAGACTGTACTGAGATATGGAATATAAAAGCTCAAATATGTAAAATTAAACAGCACATTATAATTGCTTTTTTCCATCGGTTTTTGTTTATTTAAGTTCAATTTAGCTCATATTATAATTGTTAATTTGGTGTTTTTCATGGTCATGTTGGTATAAGCTTCAGAGACATGGATTCTAAACACATAACTGGCTTTTGCAGCTTGGGCAGGGGCTTTGAGTCTTGCTTGACCCACCTGAAAAATGAGAATAATTCACCTTGTTGTATTGTTTTAAAAGTTAGGGATAATGTGTCTTATGGAGACTCTCTGTAATCTCCATTATCACAAAATATCACTATTGTTGTGGGATGTAATTGATTATTCATAATTAATAATAGGTAATATACGTAAAGTGCTTTACAGCTTAACATATATTTTCAGGTTGATCTGAAACTTTTTTCCCCCAGCATACCGAAATGCCAAGAAACTTAGAATCATATCTTCAAGAAGTTATTTAAAATTTTGTCATGGTAATATGTTGTGTTCTTTTTTGCAGGAAGTACTTAAACAACTACAAGGAAGTATTGAAGATGAAGCTATGGCTTCTGCTGGACAGATTGACTTATTAGAGCGTCTCAAAGGTAGATTTTTTAAAAGTGTTTTAAAATAATTTTTTAGGGACACCTGGGTGGCTCAGTCAGTTAAGCATCTGCCTTCAGCTCAGGTCATGATCTCAAGGGTCCTGGGATGGAGCCCCATGTCATGCTGCTTGCTCATGGGAGAGTCTGCTCCTCCATCTCCCTCTACGGCTCCTCTTGCTTGTGTTCTCTTGCACACACACTCTTTTCTCAAATAAATAATAAATAAAAATATTTTAAAAATAATGTATATCCAAATACAGCTTCTTTGAATGTTGGTTTCAGTTTTCCTGGTTAAACAACCTTGTCTATTAGGATTCAGTTGGTAAAATATGGGTAATGTAAAATGTCTACTTGCTTGTCATTCCTTAAGTGAAGCATTTAACTGACTTTAAATTATTATAGATTCCTTATTTGATTATTTTCAGCTCTTTTTAAAGCTCATTGCTCTTCTTCCAGTCACTGTATAGACCTTGAGTAAGCTGTGTGCCACAGACTGGGCCTGTTGCCTTACTTAAAGGAATAGTGTCCTCCTCTGTTCCATCCAGAATACAAGTGTTTGATCTTCCCACTTATGTTAGCTGATTATATGCCATTTTTCATAGAATTTTGAAAAAATAACTTTCTCATTTTGTTGCTTAAAAATTCAGGTATCAAAACAGGAAGAGTGTTTAATTATTATAGTTGAAACTAGGCTGAGAAATTACCTTTGCGTCCTAAAATATATTATTATTTAGTCGGAATTTAAGGAAAGACATTTTGTGTGATTTTTCTTTAATGTATTCCTTTTTCTGTGACTGAAGCTATTTTGGAGGGAAAATTTAGTCATTCTATTCCTAAATAATTGTTTATTCAATCATGTGTCTTTGTGGCCTCCTCTATCAGAAATGTAGAGTTGCAGTGAACACTTTTTTAATGATTTGATATTTGTATATAGAACATTAGCATTTGTGGTAAGGATTCTCTGTTTCCTGCATAAATTTGCTGCTCTATAGCTGCCATAATTTAGTACTCCTGCAGGCTTTATGTAATATATATAATATATATTCAATTATATTATAAAATGGGTTAAAATTTGAGGACTAAAATCTGAATCTAATATTTTATTTCCAAGAGAATATAATTGCATTAGCAATATTTTAGATCCCTTAAAGCAATTGTTATATAAAAACTTGTCTCTCTTCCATTTAGAACTTAACTTAGATAGCAGTAATTTCCCTGGAGTGAAACTACGGTCAAAAATGTCCCTCCGTTCTTATGGAAGCCGCGAAGGATCTGTATCTAGTCGTTCGGGAGAGTGCAGTCCTGTTCCTATGGGTTCATTTCCAAGAAGAGGGTTTGTAAACGGAAGCAGAGAGAATACTGGTTATTTAGAGGAACTTGAGAAAGAGAGGTAACTTTTCTTCATTAAATCATAAACTTGTATACTCCCAATTTTTACTATTATTTTGTCATTTTGTAATATAGGAATTATGAAGCATGAATGGCAGGTGATCATGAACACTTAAGAGAGCTGTTTACATTTATTAATTCAAAGGTAGTATGTTACTGATCACACTTATATTAAATCCAAAAATGTAGGGATCCGTGGGTGGCACAGCGGTTTGGCGCCTGCCTTTGGCCCGGGGCGCGATCCTGGAGACCCAGGATCGAATCCCACGTTGGGCTCCCGGTGCATGGAGCCTGCTTCTCCCTCTGCCTGTGTCTCTGCCTCTCTCTCTCTTTCTCTCTGTGTGACTATCATAAATAAATAAAAATTAAAAAAAAAATAAATCCAAAAATGTAATGAGACAATATTAAATATGAAAATGTAGAGCACCTGGGTGCCTAAGTGATTGAGTGTCTGCCTTTGGCCCAGGTCGTGTTCCCAGGGTCCTGAAATCGAGTCCCCCATTGGGCTCCCTGCATGGAGCCTGCTTCTCCCTCTGCCTGTGTCTCTGCCTCTGTGTGTGTGTGTGTGTGTGTGTGTGTGTCTCATGCATAAATAAATAAAATCTTAAAAAAAAAAAAAGAAAATGTAAAGGAGGCAATTCTTGGGATTCTAAGACTTGTACTTTGTTACTTAAATACTTCACGTGCCCTGTAGGTTGAATAAGACACATGATCACAGTATTTAGGTCAGGTTAAAATATGTAACTGATTTTTAATTGAATTTTTTGTTACCTTTTGAAATAAATTGAGTAACTAGAGAGTCAGTCTGAGGTAACTGTTTCCATTAGGGAAGTCCTATTAAAAGTAGCCACAAATATAACATTTCTTAATTTATCAGTTTCAGTATCTTAAAAAACACTGCTTGACGTATATTATCTAGTTTCTCACAGTTAATTTATTAATTCTCTTACCGAAGTTAAAATCTTACTACAAATACTAGAATATATATCATTATCAAGAACTTTATCAAGTGTTTTGTAAAAGGTTATGGAATTCCTTAATGCATGAATAACTCACCATTTTTATATTCCTAAAAGTTTTATTAAACATTCAAGCAATGTTAAAATGTATAAACATTACATATTAGCTCTGTAACCTTGGTCATGTCATTAAATTTTGTGTTTTCTCCTGTAAAATAGGGATATGGTTGTACCTTGCAGAGTTGTGAAAAGTGGTGGTTTATGTAAAAATGTCCAGCATATCTAACTGAAAGGCAAAAGACTTTTTGCGTGCTGTCTCTCTAGTTTGAAGTGTGTGCATCTATAAAAATAGATGTAGCACTAAGCTTTATTTCCTCTTGAGTTTACATGAATCTGTTTCACACCTTGAACCAAGACTATTTCTATCAGACAACATAGGAAACACTATTGTGAATAGGAAGCTAACTGGGTCCACAGTCTTCCGTCTTTGTCCCCTTTGAACTCTGTTAAGAGACACAGGATATGTGACCATGCCCCCTTTCCTAGGAACATACTTTGCTCCATGTAGATAAAGTCCCAAGTTTATTAAGTAGAGACAGAGAGGAGCGTACGTGTGTATGTACTTCTAAGATGTCTTGCGTCCTCTTGGTTTTCACTACGTTGGAGGAGGATGTTGGGTCCTTGCATATATGACAGAACCGTTACTTTGCTCTCATGCAGTTGATAGGTTAGAGAGGTCTAGGCTCAAACTCATTTTCCTTCTTCATAATCATTGTCTTTGATGAGAAATTTAATACGAGTCTGATTCTCATTCCCATGAGGGTTGCCATTTTTCTTCTGTAGAAGCTTTTTTTTTTTTTTTTTTTTGTAGAAGCTTTTAGAATGCCTCAGTATATGTGTTTTCTTCATCTGTCATGCTGGGTACTCACTGTGCCCTTTTAATCTGGAAAATTTATTTTCAAAATTCTGTCATGTAATTTCTTTGATTTTCTCCCCTGTTTTTTCTCTTCTTTCTTTCTCTCTTTTAAGTTACAGGTTCACTGTCTCTCTGTCTCTTTTTTTTCTTGTTTTCTGTATTGCCCAAGGTAAGTGCTAGAAAGTAGTCAAGCCAGGGCTCAAACCTAGCTACACAGCTCTTTAACCTTTTTGAACCTCAGTTTTCCAGTCTGAAGAGTGAGCCTAAGAATAACTACCTCAAAGGATGTTGTAAGGATTAAATTAGATTTTAAAAAAATACTTAGTGCTATGTCTAGTTCTTAGAACATTCAAAAAATGTAAGCTGTTGTCATGTTAGCTATTCACTCATTTAACAAATATTTATTAAATGCATAGTACATAATGTGCCATGCTCTTTTAGGTGACCCTGAGTCAGCTAGAGGACTAAGATGACATGAAACTTGCATTTTAGAGAAGACTTAACAATTGTTTAAAAAAGTCTAAACCCTAAAGCCCTACCTGCCTCTGAGTCTAGACCTGGTTTCAGTTCTGAGCCTTAATAAGCACTGTTGTCAATCACTATCATTTAACCACTTGTTAACATTTTGGCTCAAAACACTGTAACCGTGCTTCCCCATAGCATTTTACCATTGTTCCACCCTAAACTTGACAATAACAGCTTGTCCCTATTCCCCATAGCCTCCCCTCACTCTACTGCCTTTATTAACATTGGCCTATCAATATAAACACTTATAATGCCCAGCTCTTAGCCCATTTATTGGAGAGTAATCAGAGGAAATAGTAGCATCACTATTTGTTCAGCACCTAAGTCCTGGTAGGTCCTGCTAGTTCTCACCAGGGAGCACTGAAAAATATAATTAAATCTTGTCTTACAACAGCTTGTAAAAGGGGTTCAGGCTTTCTCTGGTGCTTTTTCCTGCTTCTGTTGTCAGAAATGGGAGGGAGGAGGCAGCTTCTCATTGGTACCAAGGTTGCTACATCATAATAAGCAGGGGCTTACTATCTCATGGATTCCCTCACTGCTGACATTGCCACATCAAAAATGAAGGCTTATTTCTTATATTTTTAATTGTTTCTCAGTAAAGGAAAGGGAATTTTAGCAAGAATATAACCTTCCACATACTCACATGCAAACATATTTTCAAAACAGTATAATCAAACAAAATTTTAAAGTAACAATACTAGAGGGGAACATCTCTGTAGATGAGCAAACTCCAGAAGTGATGATAGAAAATATCCACAAATTTGACTACAAAAAAAAAAAAAAATCAGAATCTTCTACATGACAAAGACATTGTAAACAAAGTTAAAAGACAAGTGATAAACAGAGAAAATATATTTATAACCCATATAACCAAAAGTATAATCATTCTTAATATAGATGAGGCCCTATAAAAAAGTAAGAAAAAGCTATAGGTGAGGAAATACAAATGGTTTTTAAACTTGAAAAAAAAATGCTTAACCTTACACTAAAAGAAATCAAATTAAAAACTTAGTGATACACTATTAAAAAAAAAAAAAACTAGGGGATCCCTGGGTGGCGCAGCGGTTTGGCGCCTGCCTTTGGCCCAGGGCACGATCCTGGAGACCCGGGATCGAATCCCACGTCGGGCTCCCGGTGCATGGAGCCTGCTTGTGTCTCTGCCTCTCTCTCTCTCTCTCTCTCTCTCTCTCTGTCTCTCTCTCTGTGACTATCATAAATTAAAAAATAAAAAAAACTAGATATGCAGAAATAAAGTTTGGTCAAACATTTATGTTGGTGAAAGTGGTAGGAGCATACATTGGTACAACATCTAATAAGAGCAGTAAGTTAAAAATTTACATACCCTAGGAATTTATCTTATATACATGCTTGCACATTTGTGAAATGGGACTATCTATAAGCATATTCAGTGTAGCATTGTTGATAATAGCAAAAGATTAGGAAGGCCCTAAATGCCCTTTAAAACAAAACTGGTTAAAAAAAAAAAAACTGGTTATAGTGTATCCCATTATGGACTCATGAATACTACGCAGCTAACAAAAAATACGTAGGACCTTTTTCTTTTCTGACACAGAATGATCTCCCAAGATCGATTTTTAAGTGATAAAAAGTTAATAGGGCAATACAAAGAGTAATAAACTATTGTTCGTGTTTAAAAATGTACATGTAAGTATACATGTAGATCATTGCATTTTTGTAGAATCTCTGGGAATATGCACAATATTTTGTTTTAAAGTTTCTGCAACTAATCTTTTTCTTTCTTTTAATTGTAATATAGTTAACTATATGTTAGTTTCAGGTATACAATCTTTGGTGATTCACCAATTCTGTACATTAGTCGGTGCTCTTAATGATAGGTGTACTCTTAATCCCCTTCACCTATTCCGCCTCCCCTCCCCCCACCAACCTCTCCTCTTGTAACATCAGTTCGTTCTCTGTAGTCTGTTTTTTGGTTTGTCTCTTTTTTTCTTTTTCTTTTTCTTTTTCTTTCTCTTTTTCTTTTTCTTTTTCTTTTCTTCTTTTTTATATTGGTCATCATTGTAGCCCTTAATTCCACATGAGTGAGATCATATGGTATGTGTCTGAATGACTTATCTCGCTTAGCATTATGTTCTTTAGATTCATCCATATTTTGCAAATGGCAAGATTTCATTCTTTTTTATGGCTGAGTAATATTCTATAGTTTGTGTGTGTGTGTGTGTGTGTGTGTGTGTGTGGGTGTGTGTGGGTATGCCTTTACACGTATATATGTGTGTGTATATATAAATATATATCAGTTGATAAAGCAACTCTAACATGATTCTTCACATTCACTTTATTTTCCCATTTATCATTTCAGCCCTAGCCGTATACATATATGTATCTATTCTTCTTTATCCATTCATCTATCGATGGACACTTGGTTTACTTTCATGATTTGGCCATTATAAATAATGCCACAGTAAACATAGGGGTATATGTATGTTTGTGAATTAGTGTTTTCATATTCATTGGGTAAATACCCAGTAGTAGAATTACTGGAGCATAAGGTAGTTCTATTTTTTAATTTTTTGAGGACCCTCCATACTGTTTTCCACAGTAACTGCACCAGTTTGCATTCCCACCAAAGTGCAGGAAGGTTCCTTTTTATTCCCATCTTCACCAACACTTGTTTCTTGTGTTTTGGATTTCAGCCATTTTGACAAATGTGAAGTGATATCTTACTGTAGTTTTGATTTGCATTTCCCTGATGATGAATGATGTTGAGCATCTTTTCATGTGTTTGGCCATCTGTATGTCTTTGGAGAAGTGCACAGTGACAAAATATTTCCTATTATTTTGAGAAGCTGAAAGCCACATCTGTGTCCAGGGCAGTGGCTTCCTATACTCTAGGTTTGTTTTTTGTGTAATTACTGCTTTTCCGTACTCTTTTTATTCTTATATTAATTTTGGGGTTTTGTTATATCTGTACTTTTTTTCTGCAAACCATCATGATATCTTTAGACTGTAAATAAATGTGAAGAAAGCCTTAGGTTGAAATGTAAATGTTCTAATAAGGATGTTGAGTATCTTATTTAGGTGAAAAAGTAAGAATTTTTTTATTTTTTATTTTATTTTATTATTTTTTTAAAGATTTATTTATTTATTCATTCAGACAGAGCGAAGAGAGAGGCAGAGACACAGGCAGAGGGAGAAGCAGGCTCCATGCAGGAAGCCCCATGTGGGACTCTATCCTGGGTCTCCAGGATCACACCCGGGGCTGCAGGCGGCGCTGAACCGCTGCGCCACCGGGGCTGCCCAAGAATTTTTTAATATTCAAATTTTAATGATTATAATATTCTAAGTCCCACCTTCAAAAATCCAAAATCAAAGTGTTCTGCTTATTCATTATTAAAACTTTAGGTTAAGTAGAGAACATTATAATTGCAGCTGATAAGAATTACTGTTATGTACTCTATTGGCATTGTGTAAACTTGTCTTTTTTTTTAAAAACAGATCATTACTTCTTGCTGATCTTGACAAAGAAGAAAAGGAAAAAGATTGGTATTATGCTCAACTTCAGAATCTCACTAAAAGAATAGATAGTCTCCCTTTAACTGAAAATGTAAGTAACTTAGCATTATGACCTATTTTAGACTTTAATAACTTTGATCTCTTAAAAGTACCTACGTTACTCATTTAAAAAATTCAAGATAAAAAAAACATTCAAGATAATTGCATTTTTAGTTATTTGTAAACTGTAATGTTTTATCTAACTTTAAACTCAAATATATAGTAATTAATGAATTTTTGTTTGTAAAGGTGATATAAACTTCATTATGCTCAAGCAGATATTTATTTTAAACCACCAATTAAGAAAATCTATTAGGTTTGCATTCTAAAGGACTCAATTCAACTAGGTAACTGGTTTTTTAATTCTGTCTGTTGAATTACCAAACATACTCTGAAAATGTTTATTACCATCTATCTTTTGAACCACTTTACATGCCATATAGTTTTTATAATAAAAGTGTCTTTAAAGATAATTTGAGTGCTATTCCAGTTATTATAAATAACAAAATCTTTTGGCCAGGATCTTAAGACTTTTTACAAGTACAAAAGTGTGTTTATTTGCAAATATAACTATGTGAAAAAGAACTTCATCTTGTCAGCCTTTCTTTCCCCAAGCTTTCCATGTCAGCTATTTTATTCATGGGATAACATGAACATTCTGAATGTTCTGGAATACATTAATAATTTTGAACAAGATTGTATTCTAACTGTTGTCCATAAATATTTTTTAAAAAGAGAAAAATAGAATAAAAGATATATTGTCCTCTGTTAGCTTAGAGTTTTAATTTTCTAATAACACTTTTGTGAGGATATAAATGAAAAACAAAAGTAGAAAGGAGCACTTTCAAAACATGTACTTTACCAGATTTCCTGGGTGGGCATTGTCTGGAAGGAGCTTAGAACCGGAAGCTTACGTGTGTAGTTTCCTAGAACAATCGTATAAGATTTTGAGAGGAAGAAAAGGATCCCTTTTCCTGACAATGTCCTTGACATCTTCCTGGGAGTTGAGGAGACCCAGATAGTAAAAGAACAGTTAATGGAAAGTTACTGGCATACAAGGATTAGGAACTCAAGAAGTTTTGGTGGGATTTTTACTCAAATAAAAAATACCTGAGCATAGTTTTGCTCACCATTCTCATTGATACTTAAAATATACAAAATTTAGAGTCCAGTTGTCTATATTAAATCAGGTTTAGGAAAGAGCTCAAGTGTGTGTGACAGTTAGAAAGCAGTTGGCTAATATCTGAAACAAAGAGGAGTTGTCAAATAAATTCTTCCCATATTTATTAAATAATCACATTTATTTAATAGGATATGTAAAACATTATAGGCCATTTCACAACAGTAGCAAATGTAAACTGCTTATATGTCATAAATATTTTTTAATTTCACAAATTATGTGTTTATATTGGGAAGCAAGTTAACACTTTCATATGTAAATACTTATCAAGATATTAGACATTGCTTTTAAAATATCAGATCTAAACCACATTATTGCAACATTGTTATGTTCAACTTTTTTTTTGCAGGGGTTTTTGGGAAATGGAGAATAAATAAGTGGAGCTAGGACTGGCTCATTGGGACTTAGAAATAACATACAGACTATTTCATCTGTATTGCAACCCATAATTTGGGTATGCTTATAGAAATACATTATCTGTGGAATGTCATCTGCATTATTGCAAGGGAAAAGGGTGAGAGCTTCCCTGATTTAACTGACAGTGCAGTTTAGAATCCTTGGACCTATAGAATGTTACTCTGAGTCTGACATAGGTCTCGCACAGCTTTCTTCTGAGTATATAGAGCATAAAAAATCTATACCACTTTCTCATTTCCTTCATGGCCCATTATAATTTTATTTAATCAGACTTTAGGTATTATTACCTCCTGGAGCATGCGTTTATAAGTTACATTACCTTGTCCTTTTCATCCTTTTGTATGCCTAGCAGTTATCTCAGTGCCTGGAATTTTAATTACAGAGTTAATTGATTAGAGGGCTAAATGAATTAACAACCCCTGCATGAAGAAGTACTTCTTGTTTATTTCAACTTTGTTTCACTTTTGGATTTTTACCAGAAAGTTTGTGTTGTTTTGCAATTTATGATTATCTGCAATAAATAGTTTTTCCTTATACATTTTCTTCATCTTATGAACGATTTTCTCTGTTCAGTATGAACATTTATAACAATCCTTAAGTTGAGGAATAAACTTAAGGATGATGAACTGCTTCTTAATTTTTTTATGTTGTCTACATTAATGTACTAATTTCTAACAAAGTAGGACATGGGAACTGAAGAAGGTTTACCTTAGCTGGGCCAATTAGATGTTTTAAATGAATCAGTACAATTTACATAAAAACATTTATGGCTATGGGGCAATAAAAGTGTTTCTTTTTCTTTCTTTTTTTTTTTTTTTAATAAAAGTGTTTCAACTCAGCATTTCACATGAGGGACCCAGACTGAGCCCAGCACCTATAATCAAATTTTAGGATTCCTTAAAATAAAAAATAATCTAGTTATGTGCAATAACGTACATATTTGATACTTATTTTATTTATTGGTATTTTTATGCATTTTGCTTCTACTGATAAACACATAACATGAGATATTAACATTTCAATTTAATTTGTGGTTTTAGTTTTCCTTACAAACAGATATGACCAGAAGACAATTAGAATATGAAGCAAGGCAAATCAGAGTTGCAATGGAAGAACAACTAGGTACTTGCCAGGATATGGAAAAAAGAGCGCAGGTAAATTATTTATTATTAAACTATAAAACAGCAGAGGCTAGAGAAGAGCTATTAAGAATGTAATGAATTATAGCTCTGTTAACATTGATTAAATATTATTAAAGATATTTATAAGTCTACTTTCACTTTGGCAGAACTTCACAGTAATAATTTATCATGGCTCCTGGGCAACATAACCAATGTTCAAATAATTTCACCTTCACCATATTTCATTTCTCTGATACTGTTCAGCTCTGCCCTGGAATTATAAGAGAGAAAAAGGGTTAGGTGCTGGTCATCTGGTAAGTGATGGCTAACTTCACAGATTTTTACTTCCTGTAATCTAAGTATGTGTAATGACATTCAGAATATTTCTCTGCTGTTTAAGTTGCATATGAAAAGGGAATTCCTCATTTAAGGAAAGTAGAGAGGAAACATAGAACAGTGAGAAAGGTAAGATGAGTTGGATGGAGAACATTCCCATATATCTCCCCTCAACTGATGTCAAGAAAGAATAGTAAATAGCTTCACTATTTGCTATGCATTTTCATACATTATTGAATTTAGACTTTTATATTTACACAAGTATATTACTGGCTAATGTTTTTAAGCCCTGAGGAGGCTTTGCTGTTTACCTTGTCTGTTTCAAAGTAAGTACGAACATTTAAAAAGGAAAAAAAAAAGGAAAGGAAAACTTTTAGGAGAAATTTGTTAAGAAAACATTATTTGAAAGATTTTATTTAAAGGAATAGTAAATAACAGGGAGAATATACATTCATATGAGTGGTATAAATACATTTTTGTATTCTAAAGAGTTTATTTTATAGTTTTAAAATCATTCATACATGACATTTTACATCCCCAAAGTGTAGTCTTTATCTTTTATATAGTAGCTTTCTAAACATAATATATATTCATTTTATGCTACAGTATGGAAGTAGACTAAGAAGATACTTAAACACCAGTACCATGGTGCATTTTATAGTCCGTACCTATTGGTTTCACGATGAAGCTAGAGACTCAACTAATATATCTATGTTAGTTATGTTGTAATTCGTATATGTAATACACTTTTTAATTTCCTCTCACCGCCCCCCCAAAAAAAAGGGGATCCCTGGGTGGCGCAGCGGTTTAGCGCCTGCCTTTGGCCCAGGGTGTGATCCTGGAGGCCCGGGATCGAATCCCACGTCGGGCTCCCGGTGCATGGAGCCTGCTTCTCCCTCTGCCTGTGTCTCTGCCTCTTTCTCTCTCTCTCTGTGTGACTATCATAAAAAAAAAAAAAAATTTCCTCTCACCCCTGTTCCATTCAAGTTAGTGTCTTAAATGCCAAAAGTAAAACTTTAAAAATAAACCTTTTGGGTGCCCGGGTGGCTCAATTAAGTGTCCAACTCTTGGTTTCGGCTCAGTTCGTGATCTCAGGGTCTTGGGATGGAACTGCACATCATGCTGCCACTCAGCAGGGAGTCTGCCTCAGATTCCCTCTCTCCCCTTCTCCCTCTGCCCCTCCCCCGCTTGCGCTCTCTTTGTGTGTGTCTCTCTCTCTCTCTCTCTCTCTCTCTCAAATAAATCTTTACAAGAATAAGCCTTTCAGTAGAAAACCATACATGAATATCTTTCTAATATTGGAGTAATAAAGGATTTCCTAAAAAAGACACAAAGCACTATTTTTTAAAGAAAAAAGCTGGTAAATTTCACTGTATTGGATTCAGAATCCAATACAGGTACCTTAAACATACATAAATTTTGGGAAGAATGGTAAGTAACTTAGTAAATATATAGGTACAACTAGCAATCTACGTGGGAAAAATAAAATTAGATCCCTAACTCACATATTGTATAAGAAAAATTACAAATGGATTAAATATCTAAATGTGAAAAGTAAACCTATAATTAATGGAAGAAAATACAGGACAACAAATGTAAATGTCATAAAATTTTAAAACATTCTGCAGAAGATAAACTAAGGGAAAATATTTTTGACACATAAAAGAAGAACGGTCATTAGTCCTATAATGTAAGAATTCCTACAACTAGTAAGAAAAAGGCAACTCTTTTTTTAATGGGTAGAGGATGTAATCAATTTATTGAAAAGAAAATGCAGATGATTAGTAAACACAGATGACTGGTAAACAAGGGAAATTCAAAATAAAATCCATTCTTGCCTATGCCTGTGTGAGATTTTCTGTCTCCAGCTATCTCTGCTAACAGTCTGGTTATTTACTTACTTTTTATTTGTTCAGCATATATATGGACACTTAGTATGATGGTCTCTACTTTCTTATATACCTGTAAGCAAAGGCTGGGGAAATGTACACCAAGTTGTTACTAGAGCTAACTTTTGGGGACTAGGGATTGGTAGGGTGAAAGTTCTTTACACTTCCATTTTACTATAATTTTTCGTTTCTTCTATATGTCTCCAACACTTGGAGTCAGACTCATAATTAACAGTTGGTGGGCAATGAAACATTAGCTTGTTTAACTTATATTTTCCTGAATACTACTGAAGTTGAATATTTTTTCATATACTTATTAGACTTTTGAACTTCCTGTTATTCATCTTTTTCCCATTTTTCTATTATGTTAAATGTCTTACTCTTAAATACTTGCAAGTTGTATTAATATTCTTTTAATACCCCTCTGTTATAGATAATGCACATCACAACCCCTCCCTGCAAAATCTATTGCCTATTTTAGCTTTGTGATAACAAAAATTAGTTTTGTTGTAGAGCTAAATTAATTATATTGTCATAGTTGTGCTTTCTATGAATTACTTATACATCTTTTCCTTTTCCTATCTTGAAATCATAAGTTATCCTTCTATTATTTCTAATAGTTTTAATGTTTTATTTTTATTATTAGGTCTTTAATTCATCTCCAACATGCAACTGTGTGTGTTTTGGAAGTAGGGATCTAATTTTACATAGATACCCATGAGTATGTATATATACCTAATTATTTAATATATAACTTACATTTTAAATATTAGTCTTTATTACTATATGAGCAATTATATGTAATAATATATACACAGAGATACATGGCATATTTACGTTTTTAACTAAATTACTCATTATCTTTATTTGATATTCCACTATTTCCCCATTGATTAGTAACATCATCTCTGGCATATGGTAAGTTTATATTTGCTGAATATTTCTAGATTTTGTTCCACTCATTTATTTTAGTTTCTCTGTGCCTGCACTGACAATACATTTGTTTTATTTGCAGTAGTTTTATGAATCTTAGTACCAGGTAGAGTGAGTTCTCCTCTTTTTGTTTGTAAAAATCTAGTTATATTCCAGTTCATTACTTTTTCATCTGAAATTTATTATCAGCTTCTCTAATTAAAAAAACAGCCTGATACATTTTCTTTAGAATTACATTGAATTTATAAATTGATTTGAGGAGAATTCGTATCTTTACAATATAAAGATTAGTTCTTGTTTGAAAGGATGGCCTGTGGAGCCTGTCCTCCTGGGTTCTAATTCTAGACAAGCTACTTACACCAAGCACTGATTTTGGGTAAATTTTCTGCCTCAGTTTTCTCATTGGTAAAATCTAATGCTAAACTGAATGAGTTAATGAGTTAATACATGTAAAAGTACTTAGAATCTGGCCCATAGTAAACATTCAGTATATATTAGGTGTTATTAATTTTATTTCTTCACTCTTTTAGGTGTTATTTTATGTCCCTCAATAAAGTTTTGTGGTGTTCTCTATAAAGATTTTATACATCTTTTTCAATTTATTCCTAGATGTAATATAGTTTTTGTTACTGTTATAAATGAGATTAACTATGATTACTAAATTACTTTTAAGTAATAAGTATCCAGGAACTTTCTTGAGCTCTTTTATTAAATTGTCTCAGTAGTTTAAGATTTTCTTGCATTTTCCACATAACTATCAAATATGACAGTTGGATTTTTTTGTATTGTTTGCAAAATAATGATAATTTTGTTTGCCCTTTTCAGTTTTTTTTTCTATATATATATTACATAAGAACTCTAATACATATTTGAATAAGAAGCACTGATACTGGTCTTCTCTGTCTTATTATGACTCTAAAGGGACTCCTCTTAAAATTTCACTGTTAAATGTGTTGTTTACTCAGTTTTTGGTAGATAACCTTTCTCAAGTTGAGGAATTTACCTTCTGTTCCCAGTTTGTTAATAAGACTTATCCTGACTCTGTATTGAACTTTATTATAATTTTTTAAAATCAGTTTTTTGAAAGTCACACCAACTACATAACCCTGAACTTTTAAGCTACTTATTACTAAGCATAATTTCATAAATATTCAAGGTTATCATATTAAAAAAGGAAAGAAATACTACTGACTTCATTTTCATTTTGAGAAACAAAAGCACAGAAGTTACATTATTAGAAATCCTCCATCTCAGTGGGTTATCAAGACATAGAATGACTTCGAGATTTACTGGCATATTGGCAATACAGAAATCAAGAGGAATATTAGATATAATTTCCTATTTTCATCTTTTAAATATTAAAAATTTTAATTTAAGATTTTATTGGTTGGCCCCCCACCCCACCCCCAGGCTATGCTTCTAAGGAGCCCATTAGGCAGCTTTAAGCCCAGCACTGTAGGGCTTCTGGCACTGCCCCCTAGCTCTGTGCTATGGGAGACCTGCTCTCTCCAATACTGTCTTAGCCAGAGCCTATATAGGACAGTGCTGCAGGCCTGGCAGTGTGTGGGCAGCCCCTACAGTGACCAGCACACTCCATAATGACTCCTACCCCAGAGAAAGGGAAAGATAACCATACACACCATTTCAGAGGAGGCCCTGGCAGCAGGCTGGAAGCAGACAAGTGGTGTGACTGCAGGTTGCACCCACCAACAAAAGCTGCTCAGGACAACACAGGGGAAGCACACAGCAGTTTGATGCTATAGCATCTCTAGGAAACACCTGGTCTGACTCAACCTAAATCCAAGGCATCCCCAGACTGGCCCACTAACACCATAGGAACCAGACACTGCCCACAACAGGGGAAAGAGAGCCATT